AAAAAAAAAAAAAAAAAAAAAAAATTGACAACTATAGTTTCCTAAGGGGATATGCGCTTAAGAAAAATATATTTTAAAATCCTTTACCAAACAAAAGGAAAAAAAAAATAGAGACAGTTGTGAATTCCCATGTGGTGAAAAACGTAATAAACAGCATAGCTACTTACTGTTAATAAAAACTAAAATACAAAAAAAATTTGAAACACCGCATATATTTGGTGTTAAATTATTTTAACTAGTAATGTAGAATGTACTTGTTGAAAAAAAAAAACAAAATATAATATAAAGGTCATACAACTTCTAAAATGTTTTAGCAATTACCACTGATCCTTTAAAAGCTTGAAATAAAAATCTCATGGTTCAAATATCAGGTGTAAATTGGATTTTCATTCTCACTTTGCCATTGTTGTTTTTGAATTTCACAAAGGTTATTTTAGCAAGGGTAAACCAAGTTATGCTACATATTATGTTGAGACTTACCAGCTGGGGAAAATTGGAGTTTTTCAAGTAATTTAAGGCATTGTTATTTTATGTGTATTCTTCCAGAAAGATTCTCTCACCCATAATAACACATATATATACATACATACACATGCACGCACACACAAACTATATTTGAATTCAACAAATAATTCCTAAAGTCCTATGCAATGAAGAACACACAGGAATAACACAGACGCAGTTCCTGATCTATATTTTTCACAGAAATAATATCATTTAATATATTACTCCCAGAACATTTTGAAAATGTAAATTTTACTACCACCATGATACCAGATACTACCACAATTTTATAGATCAGGAAACTGAGAAGAGAGGTCAAGTACAATGCCCAGAAACCTACCCAGTAGCTTCAGAAACCAAGTCAAGATCAGCACACAAGTCACAGAACTCAAGAACTGGTAGTCTTGCCATGAAATAAATGTGTTAAGTGATCATAAAGGTGAATCCAGTAGGAATGCAACCCAGGAGATATGTTTAAATTTAGAAAATCAAATAATGATTAAATAGTACTGATATGACTGAGCTTACCTAAAGGCAGCAATTAGTGGTGCATAAATTGAGTCCCCATCATAAACATATAAATGGTCCCAACTACACTCTGTAGCAAAATGATTGAAACGAAGTCTCATTATTCTATTTGGCCTGAAAAGAACAAAAAAGAAAGTATAAATTAAATAATAAACAAAGTATAATAAATTAATCATAAATATCAAACATTTGAGGAAATAAACAGAAATTTTTAAAGAATGTACAGGGAAAGAAGAAATTCATAATATATGAACACTATTCCTTCATTTGCCAAAGACTTATTTAGTACTTACTATGTACAAGAGACCACTAAGCATGCAGTGGCAAATTAAACAGATATCACATGATCCATGACTCTTTGGACCTTACAGTTCATTCAGTGGCCATTCTTTAATAGCCTCTAAACCAATCCATTAGCCCTTCCATTTCTGCACTTTCTTCCTTATTCAACTTAAGATTTCATATTACATCATTTCATAAACACACCTGCCAATTCTCTAAACTTGCCTGCCCATCTGCCTTTCACAGCACTGCCTGGCAAAAGCCCTGGTCTATAGGAAACCAGTTATCTGCTTTGATTTAGATTGAATCCAAAGAAAAAAAAAGCTGTACTCGAGAAAGTCACACTACTGGGCAGACTGGTTCCTGCACTGGTCTCTGCTTACCAACTACAAAGGGCACTTCGATTCTTCCAGTAGTTTTACCACTGACTCTCTCTTCTCTCCCTCTCCCAATTATTACTAATTCTTAATGACTAGTTAAACCATTCAGTCCCACCTCTCTGCTTATATGTTCAGCACCTGACAAAAATCCATGAAATTCCCATTTTCTAAAATAGATAAACTTACCTACTTCTTCCATCTCTCAAACATGTAATACTTCCCTCTCATCTGGAAATGCCCCATCTACATTTAAGTCTCCTTAAATATCACATATTTTGCAAATCAACAACAAAACAAAAAAAGCCTCAAATCCCAACTCTCCCTCCACATAATACTTGCCCTATCCCTTTCTACTCTTAATGGAGTAAAACTTCACAGAAGACGTTGCTTTCTCCGTTTCCTCACATCCCACTCACCCCCCTCCACTCTCTAACCTGGCTTCAGCCCAAACACTCCACCCAAAAAGCTCTTGGTAATATCAACACCACATATCCTGGTGATGTCTAATTATACTTCTCCAGCCTAGACCTCTCCTCTACCCCACACTTGTCTAATATCTCTAAATAAACAACTAAATAAATACATAAACTAGTTGACTCAGGTGGCAATGAGTACAGTGAAGAAATTAAAGGAATGTGATAATGGGAGCATAACAAGTTGTGGGGATATAACCCAGAAAACTTTGGAGGAGATGAGAATGATGCAAGGTAAGCCATGGGAAAAGCCTGGGGAACAAAGTTTCAGGCACAGGGAATACCACAGTCTTAAGGGAGAAAGAAGCTGATGTGTCCAAGCAACCTGAAGAAAATCATCATGTCTGAAGCACAGCAAACAGAGGTAACTATATGAGATGAGAGGTAAGAGATAGGCAAGATGCAAAAGCAAAATTCAGGAGGCCAATGTCAAGGCTATTACAGTGACCCAGGAAAGAGAGGATGGTGGTTCACACAATAATTGCAGAGACAGAGGTGAAAAGGAGTCTGCAGACTTGGGAGATATTCTAGAGGGAAAACTGACAGAACTTAGTGACAAGATGAATGTGGGGAACAAGGAAAAGAAGGAATGAAAGGTTTTTGCTTAGGCTGAGGAAGATCAACCACTGAGAGGACATTCAGAGCGACAGTGGAGAAGGATGTCAGATGGGATTGGACTAACAGAAAGCGAAAGGGAAGACAACTCTTTGGAGCAGCAGTTCTCAAAATGTGGCCCACAGAACACTGGGGACGCTGAGATCCTTTTAGGGGATCCAAGAGGTCAAAACTGTGTTCACAGTAATACTAAGGTATCATGTGCTTTTATTGCTACGTTGGCACTTACTAATACAGGAAGAGCAATGGTGGGTGAAACTGCTGGTGCCTTAGAACATATCAAGGCAGTAGCAGCAAACTGTCCTAGTGATGTGATCGATCCCTGTCATTCTTCACCACCACACACATAGAAAAAAGGAAAAAATGCCAGTTTCATTTAAGGATATCTTTAGCAGTAAAAACTATTAATTTTATTAAATCCTAATCCATGAATACACATCTTTTTAATACTCTGTGTGGTAAGATGGGAAATAAGCATAAAACACTTATCTTGCCGAACAAAAATACAGTGGTTTTTCTCAAGGAAAACCACTTTTGCAATTGTTTGAGTTGTGAGCTGAACTAACCACTTTTTTCTTGAACACCATTTGCCATGTTTCTTGAAATAACTGACAAACTATCATTATTCAGACCATGATATCTGGCAGACATTTTCTTGAAAATGAACAAAGCAAGCCTGCCACTTCAAAGAGAACAACTAACAATATTTACTGCCAAAGATAAAATACAAGCTTTCAATTAGCAATCAGAGTTTTGGAAAATTTGCATCTGCCTCCCAGATGCAACTTCCCAATACTTAGAATTTTCTGATGAGACTGATGGTGATATTAACCAATGTGATTTTTTTAACATTATATGATGAATACATCAACATTTGGAAGATTTGCATAACTCAGTGAAACACTATTTTCCAAATGATCAGGTTACAGAATCATGGATAGTCAAAAGATCCATTCAAAGTGTAAGAAAACCATTATTGGATCTTAACAAGTTTCAAAGTTCATTATTTCAGATTCCACACTGCAGTTTGCTTTTAAGAAATTACTATGTGCTAAGTTTTGTTGTAATATCAAACAAAACTATTCACAATTATTTTAAGGTACTATTAAAATTGTCTCCCTTTTCCTACTTTATATACAAATGATGTCTAATTTTCTTGACATACTTCAACACAGCAACAAAGAGAATACCAGAAGATGGTATGATAATCCAGCTGTCTTCTATTAAACCAGACAATGAAGAGATTTGCAAAAGTGTAAAACAATGCCACTCTTCTCACTAAAATTTTTTTTAACACAGTGGGGTTTTTTTCCCATAAAAACTAACATGTAGTGTGTTTGTAATTGTTATTTTTATTTATTTATTTATTTTTAATTGTAACATAGTTGACTGTACATATCTGTGGGGTACAGAGTTGAATGTCAATATCTGTGTGCAATATGTGACGCTCAAGTCAGGATAATTGGTATATTCAACACTGTACAATGTAATCATTTTTCATAGCACTTTACCAATTCCTTCCTTACCCCTACCCTCTCCCCGTTTCCCACCTCTGGTAACCTTAGTTCTGTTCTCTCCTTTTGAAAGTTCAACATATTTTTGAAAGTCCCATCTTTATAACTGTTGCTTTTAAATGAATTAATAAATAATTCATTTATTAATTATTTCATTTCTAATAATATTTAATAATTTCATTTCTAATATGGTTAAAACACAGATAGATATAACCCAAATAAAAGTTATTTGGAATCCTCAAAGTTTAAGAGTGCAAAGAGGTTTAGGAACTTTTTAAAAAGTCCTCTGTAAAACTTTTTTTAAAAGTTTAAGAAATGCTGCTTTTAAGGTCTGCCATGAAAGGAAGGAAAAAAGGAAGGAGAAAATGAAGGCAATGGCTGAAGGAACAGGGGGTCCAGACAAGGGGTATTTAGGAAATAATTATTATTCTGATTTTCCTGTCCAAAATAAAAATAGGAATTTAGAAAAATGACACAATATTGCTATTTTCTAATGCCTTAAGCAAACCATTAAACTACTTAACAGTTTTTTAACTACTACAGTAGAAAATACAGAAATTTCTGGTGTGTACAATTCATTTGCAGCATTAAATCAATATGAAACTTTTCTAATTAACAATGAGCATTAAAAAAAATAAGAACATCAAATTCACTTCTCAAATGAAAAGTTATCAGATAATGTTTAAAGTATCAAATAAAAATGTTCTTTATGCTTCAGATTGTTAATTTCATTTGTAGGAAAAGTAATGCCACACTGAGTTCTATCCTAAAAAAAAAAATTTTAATTCAGCCATTACTACTTACTGTCCTTCAATGAGCCATGTGCACTTCGTTTTATATTTGTAATTTCCAGGTCCATCTGTTACAAACCCAGAAGATCCGGTTAGTCTGCAATTTAAATTAAAAAAACAAAAACAAAAAAAAAAAAACCACTTAAGTCCATCAGAATTGCATATATTAATATCTATCTTAATTCTCAATACAAATTAAACATAATGGGTACATTAATGTATACTGTAACCAGCAGAAAATGACTGGATAGTTATATTTGGATTGCATAAATTAGGATGAAACAAATACTTGCCACACATGTAAAAATATTAAAACAGGAATGAACAAAAACATACCTAAATCTTTCTAGCTAAGAAGGGAAAGTTACACTTCGTACCATGAAAATGGCCACAAGAATTTACTTATAAATATGTTTGCTTTTAAAACAATGAGACCACACAGTTACAGTTACAAGTAAAGTGCTTCTAAAACAGTGTCACTGAGGACAGCTTAACTGAGACCGGCAAGCATATCAAGCCACAACACACAATAGGCCCCTAGTGGCTGTTCAGCTGCTGCTCCTGAAGTGGCTGTCTACCATTTGCCCATGAGCAGTGTGCAACAGCACCTGTCTTCCCACACTTGTGCCAAACCTGAAGTTTACTACTTTTGGGACTTGCCAATACGATAGCAATATCTTGGTATCTCACTAATGTTTTGACTGCTGATAACCCTGATACTTGAATATCTTCTCATATGTTTTGGCCATTTGCACTTCCTCCTTTGTGAACTAAGATTCCATATTCTTTGCTCACTTTGCTATCCAAGCTGTCTTTTTCAAATTAGAAGCTCTTTTTATACTAAGGATATCTCCTATTTGTATGTTAAATACACTATAAATATATTTTCTGCTTACTTTCTTCTTTATACTTTATGTCTACTATCTTCTTTAGCTATATAGAAATTTTAGCATTTAAGAAGGATGTTATTTACTTCCTCATTGCTCATTTCCAGATCACTTTTCCTCCCTCTTCATCAACAATGTCATCTTCACTGAAACAGACACTCTCTTCTGGATCTGCCTCCCTTACTTTCTGAGTCATCTACTGACATACCAGTTACTCCTCCTCATGCACTAAAGATATTAGCCAATCGTTCACTGTCTTCCATTATCTGCATCAACATCCAAGATGTTCCAAAATCCAGCCACTCTGTTTCTTAACCTCCTCCACTCCACTTTAGCCAGTCACCCAGTCTCCGGGCCCTGCCATATTCAATAACAGCACTACCACAAAAATCTCCATTTTAAGTGTCCTACCCTCTGCCCACTGTCTCATACCTCTCCAATTCATTTAGCCTAGTTCTGCCTTTCAAATGAGTCTTCATCCCCATGAGAACTGCCAATCCATTGAACTATCACTTCTTCACTGTTCACCATTTACCGCACACACATTTCACTTTCTCACTTACCTACCAAGATTCCATGGTCCATCACAAAAATCATCCCCTGCAAATCCCTCAGCTTCCTTGTCTTTCTCTCCCTCAACTGTGCTTGCCTGATATACTTGTCTCCATATCTTATTCCCCAACATCCATTCCACCCCCAAAATGTTAGTCTGGGCCAATTATGTTTTTCCATGACACTTGCCAATGACTGATTAGAAATGTTTATCAGTTAGGATTAGGTTCTTATGCAACTGACAAAAATCTAAATAGTAATGGCTTAACCAAGATATAAAATCCAAAGGTAAGCATTCCAGAGCATGTAAGGCATTTCCATGATCATCAGGGACCTAATGTTATTCTACTGTGTTGCTCTGTCATCCTCAATATGTGGCTTTTACCTCATAACCCAAGATGGTTGCTCATGCTCCAGCTATTATATCCACATTCTACCCAGCAGGAAGGAAGAAAACAAAGGGTGCACCCCTTCCCCCTGAGTCGAACATGACAATTCAACTTACATCCCATTAGTCAAAACTTACTGACATATCCATCTATGCATATAGGGAGGCTGAGAAATGCAGCCATTGTCTTAGATGACCATATACCCAGGGAAAATCAGGATTCTCTTTACTAGAGAAGTGAAGAAAGGTTATGAAGGGTAATTATTAATCTTTGTCACAGCACGTAATATTTTACCAAGATGTAAGGGGAAGTTTGATAGATGACTTCTAGAAAATATTTTCTTGTTCTTAAGAAAGATACTGTGGTAGACAGGGAGACATGCCACCTAGATCCCTCCTTCAAGGAAGGACTTGCTGCCAGCTACAGCAAGGAATGTGGTCATCAAAGAGTTGTCAGATGGCTGCCTTCAGGGGCTGCCTTGCCCCAGATCATGTCCTTCCCAGGGCAGCCCACATTTTACAGGGTATAAAGGCCTAGGCATTTCAATCCGACATAGGACACCTCTGACAAGTAATCCTTGCTCCAGAGCTCCCCTTTGTCAGGCCTTTGCTGAAGCACAACTTCTTCCTTAGCCCAAGTTTTCTTCTGCTTCTGCTTCTGCTTCTGCTTCTCGCCTGGACCACCTCCTCTTGGACCACCACCTGCTCCACCTTTACGGCCTCCTGGACCACCTACAGGCCTTCCTTCTGGACCACCTCCAGGAGCACCTCCATTCCTGAGACCACCTGGAATGCCAGGACTCCGAGGGCCTTTACCCCGACTTTTACCTCCAGGACCACCACCAGGCCGACCCCCTGGCCCTCCCCCAGGTCCACCTCCAGGTCTGCCTCCTGGCCCTCCTCCTCGGGGACCTCCACCAAGGCTACCTCCCCCTGCACCTCCAGGTATCCCTCCACCTCGTCCTGGCATGATGCGCCCACCTTTGGTGCCTCCACTTGGACCTGAACTTGCACCCAAAATGCATCTTGGCAAATGCTTCCAAAAACCAACCTATGATAGACATCAAAGAAGAGATCATACTTCTCTCTGGACTTTGCTATGGCTGAATTTTATAGCTGGAAGTACTGCAACCATCATGATAAGAGCTTGAACACAAAGCCAAAACCAAGAATGACAAATCCAAGGAATGCAAAGGTTCCTGAAGAGTAAGCACCAAACACCCAAAGAAACCACCCCACTTCAGACTTCTAGCTTTATGGGTAAATAAATTTCCCACTGGTTATTGTTGCATTGTGTGTGTTTCCCTGATTCTTTGTTCTAGTCTCTTCTAACTCAAGTTTTATGGTTCTCAACTTTGTTTTGCTCCTAAGAGTTCCTATGGGCTTCACATGAACAGATTCAGGTTCACAAATCAGCATTACTTTTAGAAAAGAAAATAGGCCATTTTTATTTTAAATGTTTAATATCTTTAAATATACATCTACATAATTTTACAGATAATACATAAATATGATCACAGACAGGCTTTTTTTGTTGTTAAAAAACAATTCTTTTTTTACTTACCTCCTCAATTACTCCCACCCACCTCTGACCAAGATAAACATTTAAACACCTAGTAAGGAAAAAGATGGCGAGGGGCGCAAGGTTTCAAGATGGCGGTGGCTTGGTGGTTGACCAAAAGGTAGAGGTGAAGGCCCCTACAAAGTAAAAGAGGCCAGGAATCGTCCCTTCCCCGCTTCTCGCAATCTTGGGAGCCCAGCAGAAGTTAAACCATACAGATTATCAACATGGGACGAAGATCTACATCATCCACCAAGAGTGGAAAATTCATGAACCCCACAGACCAAGCCCGAAAAGAAGCCCGGAAGAGAGAATTAAAGAAGAACAAGAAACAGCACATGATGGTACGAGCTGCAGTTTTGAAGATGAAGGACCCCAAACAGATTATCCGGGATATGGAAAAATTGGATGAAATGGAGTTTAACCCAGTGCAACAGCCACAGTTAAATGAAAAAGTACTGAAAGACAAACGTAAAAAGCTGCGTGAAACCTTTGAACGTATTCTACGACTGTATGAAAAAGAGAATCCAGATATTTACAAAGAATTGAGAAAGCTAGATAAAATAAAATAAAAATAAAAAATAAACACCTAGTAAGCATTCTTAACTATTTTCCTTCACAATCACAAGCCTGTGACATATGCATAGTTCTCATAATTCACTTTTGGTTATACAAATTAATTTTCACACTAACTTTTCTGCATCTTTCTATTCTCACTCAACAAAACCTTATGGTAATCTCTCCAACTAATCAGGTATTAGTCTAATTCATTCTTTTTCATGTAGTATAATAATCAACCTTATGGAGGTATCATTCTTCCTGCCTTTCCCCTTCCAACATTCGTATTGTTTTCAGTTGGTTGGCATTACGCATATTGTAGCAATAAATATCCCTATACATATGGCCTTACTTGTGCTTTTATTTCTAAGACAGAATCTTAAGGGGAAGATTACTGAACCAAAAGGAATAAAAATTTTAATTTTTAACCATGTTGTCAAATTATTTTCCAAAGGGCTGTGACAATTCACATTTGCACCAGCAAAGTATGAGAACATGCTATTCCCCACATCCCCTCTGCGTTAGATGTTATGTTTCTTTTAAATTTGGCCAGTTTTTAATTTGAAATTCCCTGTGTTATGACTTAAATTTGTATTTGCCTGGTAATTAAAGATTTTAAGCACCTTTCAGGTGTTTATTGATCATTTATATATACTATTTTGTGGACAAATTTGTTCTTATTTTTGCCCATTTTTGTGGGGTTTTGTCTTCTATTATTGAGTTACAAGAATTCTTTATATATTCTGGATGTAAATCTTTTATCAGATACATGTTTTGCAAATATTTTCTGCCAGTCTATGGCTTACCTTTTTGTTTACTACCAATGTCTTTTGAAGAGGACAAGGTTTCAATTTTGATGAAGTCCAATTTTTCCATTTTTCTTTTTTATGGTTAGTGCTTTTTGGAGGCTTAAAAAAAATCTTTGCGTATGCCAAGGGTAGAAAGATTTTTCTACCGTGTTTTCTTTTAGAAGTTGTGTGGTTTTAGCTTTTACATTTAAGTCTTTAGCTCAGTTTGAGTTAACTTTTGTGTGAGGTATGAGGGTAGGGCCCAGATTCACATATTTCTTATGTGAATATCCGGGTGTTCCAGCATCATTTGTTGAATAGTCTATCTTTTTCTCATTGAGTATCCACTTTGCTTTAAAAAAAAAGCAATTAACCATGAATGTATGGGTTTGTTTCTTGATTATCTATTCTGTTCATCAATGTATATGTCTACCTTCCCACTAATATCACAGTGTTGTGACTGCTCTAGTTTTACGGAAAATCTTAAAACAAAGCAGTGAAATTCCTCCAAATCTGTTCTTTTTCACCATTATTTAGGTTAACTATCTACTCTAGGCCCTTCCAATTTCACATACATTTTAGAATTAATTTGTCAGAATCTACTAAAAAAGAAAAGCTTGCTGGGACTTTCACTGGGATTGAATTTAATCTACAAAGAAATTTGGGAAGAATAAACACCCTTCCAATCCATAAATACGGTACCTCCTTCCATTTTTATAGGACTTCTTTAATGTCTCTCAGCAATGTTTTGTAGTTTTCGGTGTACAAGTCTGTCTTTTTGTCAGATTTTTCTAAGTATTTTAAGCTTTTTAAATCCTATTTGAATGATGTTATTGCTTTGATTTTATTTCCAACTGTTTCTTGCTAATAACAGAAATATGATTGATTATAGAATACCTTGTATCCTGCAACTTTGTTATATTCAACTTAACATTTCTAGCAGGTGTTTTTTATAGATTCATCATTTTTTTTCTCTCTACAGGATCATGTTATCTGTAAAAAGAGTTTTCCCTTTTTTCCAATCTGGGTGCCTTTTATTTATTTTTCTTGACGTATTATACTTGCTAGGATTTCCATGTTGGATGGAAGTCATGAGGGGGCATTCTTACCTTGTTTCCAATATTAAAGGGAAAGAGTTCAAATTTTCACCACTGAGTATGATGATAGCTGCAGGTTTTTCTGTAGATGCCTTTTATCAGATGAAAGACACTCCCTTCTATTCCTAATTTGCTGAGAATTTTTATCATGAATGCCTGACAAATTTTGTCAAATGCTTTTTCTACATCATTTAAATGATCATACGACGTTTCTCCTTTATTCCATTAATGTTTTGAATTACATTAATAGATACAGTGACTGACTGATTTTGAGTGTTAAACCAACTGCATTCCTGGGTTAATCACTTTCATTCTTTTTTTTTTTTTTAATTGGAACACAGTTGATTGTACATATCTGTGGGGTACAGCACTGAATGCCACCTCTTTCATTCTTGATACTATTAATTTGCATCTTCTTTTTTTCTTGATTTGATCAATTTTATTGGTCTTATCATTGATTTTCCTTATTGTTTTTCCATATTGGATTGATTTCCACCCTTATCTTCATCATTTCCTTCCTTTTATTTACTTTGGATCTAATTTGCTCTTCTTTTTCTGGTTACTTAAGGTGGAAGTTTAGATCATTTATTTTATATCTTTCTCTTTTTCTAATAAAAACACTTAAAGCTATAAATTTCTCTTTACACACTGCTTTAGTTGCTTTCCACAAACTTTAACAGGCTGTGTTTAAACCTTCATTCATTTCAAAGGTTTTACTTCCTTTATTTCTTCTTTTTTTTTTTTTTCCTTTTTGTCTTTTTTCGTGACCGGTAACGGGATCGCAACCAAACCTTCATTCATTTCAAAGGTTTTACTTCCTTTATTTCTTCTTTTTTTTTTTTTTTTCCTTTTTGTCTTTTTTCGTGACCGGTAACGGGATCGCAACCCTTGGTGTCACGCCCGTACCGCGACCAGCAACGGGATCGCAACCCTCGGTGTCGCACCCGCACCGCGCTCAACCAGTGAGCGGACGGGTCTCTATATGGAATCCGAACCCGCGGCAGGAGTGCCGCCGTGCCCAAGCGCCGCACTCTACCGAGTGCACCACCGGGCCAGCCCCTTTATTTCTTCTTTGACCTATGTGTTACTTACAAGTTGCGTTCTTAATTTCCAAATATTTTAGATTGGGATTTTTCCAGTTACCTTTTTATATTGATGTCTATTTTACTTCCATGTGAATAGATCACAAACTCTGTATAATTTCAATTCTTTTAAATGTATTGAGACTTGTTCTATAATCCAGCATATGGTCTATCTTGCTAAATGTTCCCAGGGCACTTGAACGAGTAATCTGCAGTTGATGTATATAATGTTCTCTAAATGCCAATTATGTCAAGTTGATTGATGGTGTTATTCAAGTCTTTTATATCCTTCCTATTTTTCTAAATATTTTTTTAAAAATCAATTATCGAAAGTATTGGAATCTTCAACCATAATTGTGTGTTTGTACATTTCTCATTTTAGTTCTGATCATTTCTGCTTCATGTATGGTAGGATTGTTTTGTCTTCTTGATGAATTTACACTTTTATCATTATGAAATGTCTCTACCTCTGCTTATATTCCTTGTCTTGAAGTCTACTTTTTCTGATGATAAACAGACACTCCAATTTTCTTTCTATGAGACTATATAATTTATTCATTAAACATGAATAAGGTTGGTTGATAGTGATTAACTGATTTTTAACTGTTAAACCAAACTTGCACTCATTGCACATGACTAAAATATTGATTTTGTTCCTTCTATGTTTTGTTTGTTACTTATTTTGCATTAGTGTATTCTCTTTTTTCCTTTTCCTTATCTTATTGGTGTGATCAAGTTGCCATTCATTCTATTTCTCCCTTTATCTAGACAACCTACTGTACCTTTATCATCTTTTTATCATCCTATCAATGGTTATCTTCTCTCTACCCATTATTGAAAGCAATTGCCTTTACTATAATTTACAAATAAGACATCAAATGTTT